GGGTTCGATCATAGTATGGGTGGGTGTCTGGTGTCTGGTTGACATGCGGGGGGCAGCTTGACATTGCATTAGTGGAAGTGGTAATTGGCCAATAGAGCAGAAAAGGTGGGCGGTGGAAAGGTAGGAGGAGAACAACTTGCACTGCAGACATAACAAAACTTTAACTTGGGTGTTATCTCCAGAGATAAAACAAATCTATGCTGGGGAAACAGTATTATGGCACATTATATTGGAGGACAAAGAGAGTGCAATACTTTTTAGCATGTATATATGAAAATGGTTTAATGGACAGGATATGTATCTAAGTGCTTCTCTTAATATTAAACAGATATTGCTTTTCCCACAGAACTCTGATAGGGAAACCACTTTGGATAAAGCAGATGACCTTACAATCAAAACTGTCATCAATGTGACTTGCTGTACTGGCTTATGTTGACTTTGTAATATTGTATGGACTATAACCTCTAACCTTCTCTTTTAGTGGAGTCCTCCAGCCCTGGAATTCTCCCTCAGGACAACTCTTTCGAAAGGTCTTTCTTCATTCGGATGAAATCTACACTGACTAAGAGAGGCGTGCATATAAAATCCTCGGGGTACAAGGTGAGTTACATACTGACTGCAGTGTAAAATACAGACTACAACTCAAAGACTTCCCCGCATTGCCAACAAGCTACATGAAGTCTGGAGAATCTATTCTACTGCACATGTTACATCATAACTGACTGGTCATCTTGGAAGACTTCTGCGTTTGGTAATGAATAGCTATCGCAGTTAGAGACCCTTTTTCAGTTAACAAAATCAGGTAACACAACCAGACTAAAAAAAGAAAACAATTTGGATCTTACTGAGCAGGTTGGCATTGCATGATAGGGACCACATGGATTTTGCTACTTAAAATGTCAGTTAACCAGAAAAAACGTGCTGTTTTAGTTTCAGGTAAAGCCTGAAGTAGCCTGGCCCTACTTCAAATATGCCTTATACTCCAAAAGCAAGATCTTCCTGCCAAAAATCTGACTTTGTCCAGCAGGGAGTTCTGGGTGTTCCTGCCCACCTCTGCATATTTCAGCACTTCTTGTTCCATTCTTCATAATATAAAATATATACAAAATCCAACATGGTGTTTGGAAACCCGACATAATGGTTACAGCAGGTGTGCAGATCCATGAACTCAAGCAAAGATGTCTTACTATTAGAATCTGACTTAAGCTAGCAGTTTAAGAGGGAAGTCAGCAATGACACCCTATACATTTGGACTACACAATTGATTAAAGATAGAGTTTAACCTTTTAATGCAGGGGTAGCCAAACTCCGTCCCTCCAGCTGTGGTGAAACTACAAATACCATGATGCATCTCTCTCCGGGAGTCATGTCGGTGGCTGTGAGAATCTTGCAATGCCTCAGGGGATTTGTAGTTCCACCACAGTTGGAGGGTCAGAGTTTGGCTACCCCTGTTTTAATACAATTTAACTGTTGACATTTATAGTAGTTTTACAGTGATTTAGTGACTGCAAATGAGATGACAAACACCAAGTGGTTGAAACTCACCTATGTAACCCTAGGCTTAGTTTTTCTGACTTCCTGCTGAAGCTGTCTATCTACTGGTCGAATTTCAACCAGAGTGTGGCCTAGTCAGTATCCGTTTGCCGGACAAAGGCAATTTTTAAATCGACTTTTGTCAAAGGAGTTGCTCTGAAAATTCTGGCCCAAGCAGCGACTGCAGCCAGTCAACTGTCACTGTTTGGGCGTTCTGACAGCGGCAGACCCACCAGTGTCAGAATACATAATCCGGGGTTAGGGGCATTCGGGGGATTCCCCCAGCATTTTTTTCTTGTTCAGCCCTTATCAGTGTGTGGTCAGCCTAACTCTCATCCCCCTCCCCTACTTTGTCATGGCAGATTAAAATAGCAGTACCAGTCCTGCATACATTAGAATAAAGTATATGGGAGGGAGGAATAACAGTACATACATGTTGCAGAGCAGTAATTGCTTTAATGTGACACTGATACCTTTCCCAGGCAGGCCATAGTGACAGTGTCTATACAAAAGGGTCACCCAAACCCCTAATACTCAACTTACTAGTGCTTCAGTAGCCAGCACTAAAATCCCCCATAGAGAATGGTGATGTCTCCACCTCTGTTATTTGACAGTGTTTAGGCCTATTTATTGTCTGCTAGACCCAAGCACTGTCATATCGGGGGAGGTCATCAGGGGGGAGTATGGCATCGTCTATTCAAAGGAAAGGTTTCCTGAAAGAAACATGGAGCATTGCTGCATCTCATTCTTCATATGCTGGTTGCCTGGCTATAATTCTAACTCTCTTGTTTCAACAAATGGTGTCACTGACCTGGAACAAAGATGCAGCTAAGGAATTTTGACTTTGCTCTGACTTTCCAATGCAGTGACTCAAGCAGGTCATACACGGTCAAACTTTGACTGTTTGATGCTGGTTTCAAACACCCCGCTCAACAAAAGTCGACTTTTCAATTGACTTTGTCGATCGAATCATCTGCAGTCACGGTTTGGTTTTTCTGACCAGAATACAATAGCCGGCAGGAGCGGATTGAGTGGGAATTGAGTCATTCCTCTTGTTCTGGTGTATGGCTAGCTTCAGTATTTAATCCAGTTAGTGTAAAAGCCAGGCAATTGGCATCTTAAGAAGGAGGCCAGCAACAGCTGTCACCATGTTTCTTTTAGGAAATATGTACTTTTAATATATAACAGCCAATCAGAGACCAACATGCGATGGTTCTGATCTACAAATGCTAATTAGTGATGGGTGGTGACGATGAGCATATTTCATTTAATGATTTGATTATAAACATGCAGATTTGTCTAACTTGCAGAGAATCCTACAATTCATGAATCACAACTGCCCACATTTCTGAATTACACGATTCTCCACACATCAGACAGATCTGTACATGCTAATATTGAGGTAAATAAAACACTTTTCATGATTTGATTATTACTAATGGTCAGCTTCCTCGTATTATTAAATAAAGCACATCTATTACATGAATTATGTTATTATGAGCTATGGTAAATTTGTCATTGAACAGCTGCTTATCTGAATATTAATCTACACATGGAAGCTTGTCATTCGTTTCATTTCTCTGTTTGATTTTCATGTCTGTTTTCATTTTGTTCCATCTTTTTCCATTTTGCTGCCTGTTTCCTTAACCAGTTAGGAACGTCAGAACAAACAAGAGAAGTCAGAGTCTGTCACGTGTAAGAAAAACTCTGAGTATACAAGTCTTTTTACCTCATGGGGGAGTGAAAGGAACTGAGGAAAAATACACTGAGCCTTCGTCCCACACCCCCTTCCTCTGCCCTGCTCCCTCTGTCCTCCCTCTGCTTTGCTTTTCAACTTCAAGGCCTTCATGTTGCTTCCAAATTGTGTCTGGGAGAGAATTCCCCCCCAGGCTGCCTACAATCTAAAGGTGTCTTTGAAGAGCCTCAGTGTATAAAGAATCCGGATGGTTCCTCTCTCCTGAGGCAGGAGAAGATAAAAAAAAAAGAGAAGAGCAATCATACTTCTCTGGCATGGAGACCGCAAGAACACAGAATGGGCCCCATATCCTATCCTACAACTTTACATTTAAACTTATGGGGATTGTCAGTATAGAGATGAGATTATTATTGCCCTTTGCAGTAAGAAAAGAAAGTTGGCTTGTCCTATTACGTGTGCGCTGTGTGTGCCATACTGGTCACAAGCCTAAGTAGACAAATGTGTGAGTGCTTATTTCATTTCGGGGTTTTGTATAGTGCTGACTTATTGCATTAGCTAGCTAGCAGGAGTAGTCTTGAGATATACTGTATATAGTTGATTTGATACACTTTGTTGGTTGGTTTCATTTTATATAGCAATGCTTAGTCACTGTAAACCTATAGCAGCCCATGTACTGTCCATTTTCTTGAGTCAGATAAGTGCAACATGAATTCTGATTGGTTGCTTGTCTTGTGCCTTTGGGAGTCACTCTTATTCTCTTATGAGCAGTAGACAATATATGATATATGTTTGTATCTGATCTATTTGTAGTGGTAGGTTAAGATTAGTGTTGGAGGCTGTTCTGGTGATTTGGGTGTTTAATGATAGTTTTGAGTCCTGTATAGTTCTGCACTTAATTCTGCCTTCCTACCACCCACCCCAACACCCTTCCAGGCCCACTGCATGGCTATCAACCCTGCTGCTTTCTCCCTGGTCCTCTCCCACATTTCACCTGCCCATTTGGCTGTTAGTCAGGAGACTGGGTAATGCCTTCTGCCCCTGACTGACAGGATGCCACAGGTTCTGCCCAGCCCTAGGGCATGGCAGTTGCAGCAGAGGAGGCAAGAAGAGTGGACTTTCTGCTCTCAGTTCAATGTTAACATTTATTGGAAAGCATTGGAAGACAGGGGATTGACTTTGCTTGTTTCCTAGACTTGTTATTTTTTTTCCGAGAACCCCAACCAGTGATCAGGAAGACATGAAAGCTTACTAATGGGGTGTAGGTTACAAATCGCTAGTCACAGCCACTTTGGCATTACACAGTAACTATACAGTCAACACTGTTCTACTACTGTTTGTCACATATAGGAAAGATCTGCAACTCACTACTTGGATCATAATTTCAGTAATTTCAATTAGAAAATGATACATGAGATAAAGCAAACATAAAGGAGCTGGAGCCCTCACTGGCTGATGAAGGGTTAATTGAGTTCTCCCAGTTTTATCGGTTAAGGTCATAGGAAGGGGAGCTGGTTCCTGACGTTGTGTGTACCTCCGCTCTCCCCCCCTGCTTTCAGTGTCATATTAGATTTAGCTGCTGAAATATATAAAAGTACCACAGGAGTCTCTGATGTGTTTCTTGCCATGAGCGATCCAGCAGCAAAACTCCCCACATGTGTCAAAGAGGACTCTGCTCACTCTATTATGCCGTTCTTCGGATGATTCAGGCTGTGGTACCCTGCCTCCTACTGACCAGACCTTTTTATTTCTCGGCTTCCTTCTTCCCTGATTTTTTTTCTTATTGCTTGCCCTTTGCTTTGTTTTTGCTTGCTTTGTTCATTCTCATTCTGACTGTTTCTTGCCTTTCATTTTTGGATATTGTGTATATGTTTCTCCTCCTTGTATCTCCCTATTTACAGCTTCCGCTTCATCCATGTTTCTTTCATGTGTATACAAAGTATATCTTTTGCTTCTTCATTGTGTCCCCCTTCCATCCATCTGCCCTTTTATGTATCCCTTTTCTCTCTCTTTTTGTCTTCTCCCATCCCTCTGTCTCTCTCACTCCCTTTCTGTGAATCATTCCTTCTCTTTCTCAGAAATGGTTATCTGTTACCAGGTTCAGGATGGCAAATCAGTTTAAGAGAAAGCATACGTACTGATGTAAGCTCCCATGAGCAACTGAAACTCACAGAATCTTGCACCAATCATACACTCATTCAGTTCTCTTTAATAAAACAGCAAATGTATTTTAGTCTGTATATACCATGTTTTAGACCTCTTTATTAAACATAGAAACATGGAAGAGTGATGGCAGAAAAATCCCAAGTGATCCCTCAAGTCTACTCATTTTTTATTTGTGAAACGTTATGCCTTAGTATGTATCTGCATTTGTCCCAAGCATATCTACAGTCATATACTGACTAGACCCAGGTCTAAAAATCTAGAAGCCAGGACTATGCAATCTGCATTTGACTATATAGGTAACTGAAAGATACATAGCTAAGAAATACTTAAAAGAAAAACAATTGTTCTGTTAATTCTGAACAGACTTTATTTTAACAATAAAATTAACAATAAAAATACAGACTATTACTTTACCAGAGAACAACTTTCCCTTAACTTCCTGCCACTCAACAGGAAGTGAGTAGATATATTTCCAATGTGAGGGAAGTTCTCTCGTAGACAGTTCTCGCTGGAATAAGAGTCCTCATTGGAAGATTTCCCTATTATTCCAGTTCTGGTAGAAACTCAAAATTTTGGCTTTACCCTCCTTCCCAGTAACATTGGCGATCATGACAGTTAGAGAGAATGAATCTCCCTGATAGGGACAGAGACAGCAGTATAAATCTTAGTGTTTTTAACCTCTTACCATACTATTTCAATCTAAAAAACTTTTACCTTTGGTTATATTTGAGGCATCACCAGTAATATTTGTTTACTGGACCCAGTTGACTTACCTTAAGCAGTGTGCTGTGTTTCAAATTTACCAGCTGTCAAGACTAAGTAGGTCCCTGTTGGAGGCAGTGTCCGGCAGTCTCCTCTGGGGTTGGGGAGACCGCCGGACACTGCCTCCACATCTTTTTAAACTTCCTGCTATCATGGTCGTAGGAGACACTGACCCGTAGGATAAAAGGACTCTATAGAGTCCCCCACTTGTGTTTTGCTTTATTCCAGGAATTACAGCACTGCCTCGTACAACTCTTGCACACACAAAATTGAGTCAGCTCCCTTATTGCTCAGATTAGGAAGTCTTCTTCCTACAGCTTCATGTTCACCTTTTCCCTTCCTACCCCAAGAATGACCAGTTCCTGCTGTCTCCCTTTGTTTTATTCCTTTCACCTTTTATGTTTCCTGTATCTTATCAATATCTTTTTGTAAGTGAAGTTTACAGAACTCGACACAGTCATCTAAATTATGTTTAACTGAAGAGCTATAGATGGGAAATAGGATCGCCTTCCACCTGCTGGTGATACCTCTAGTGATGTACCCCAGAATTGTATTCACTTTCCCCACTGCCAGGCCACGCTTTTTGCTCATTCTGCATGTGGGACCGTATCAAATGCTTTGCTGAAATCAAGATAGGCCATGTTCCTCCCTGGTCAAAAACATTTGTGATTATAGTCAAGAAAATTCAATCAGATTAGTCTGACATGATGTGTCCTTAGTAAAGCCATGCTTCTTTGGGTCCAGCACGTTGTGTGTTTTAAATGATCATTGATCCTTTTTTTAGGAGTAATTCTAATAATTTTACTACTACAAATGGTAAACGCCCTGACTTGTACTTGCAGGCTTTTTCCTTACTACCCTCATTCTGGGTAAGTACAATATTAGCTGTCCGCCAGTCATCAGAAACCTCTCCTTTTAGAAGTGACTGATTATAAAGATCAGTTAATGGTCCAACAACTATACTTCAAAGTTTTTTTAGTACTCTGGGATGAAGACTATCAGGACCCATTGGTTTATTAAGCTTTAAGCAAGTAAGTTAATTTGCTGCCTCTCTTTCTAGAAACCCTGCCAATGATCCTTCACCACTAGAACCAATATGATTCTCCAACTTGTTTGTTGGTGTCATTTACTTTTGAGAACACTGAAAAAAGTTATTGTTTAAATGGTTTGCTACTTCCTAGTCTTCCTCAAAATAAGTGTCGTATCCAGTTTTAATTTTTGTGATCCCATAGTATGTTTTTTTTTCCTTCCAGTGTGGTCTCCCTCCTCCTTTTAAAGTAAGCTCAATTTGTCTGCACTAAAGAAATGTTTTTAAATACTGGGGTCCTTTTTATTACATAGTACATTTTAATACAAAGGTGAATATGCCCATCATCTGATTAGTTGCTTCTGCCGTTGTACTCTAACCTTTTAATTAATTTTTTAGAAATTCACCCATTTCAGCACAATTTGTCCTTTTGAAAAACGTCTCTTCCTTTTGTACATGCTCTGACTGCTTATTCCCATTCAGCACTGTCTTTTTCATTGTCTTCATTTTGTTTTTTATACATTTTCTTATTGTGTTTAGATATGTTCCTACATTGTGAAGTATAACTGTATGTATATGTTTAGAGCAGCGGTTCTCAACCTGTGGGTCGCGACCCAAAAGTGGGTCGCCGCCCCTTCTTGAGTGGGTCGCGGCAGTGTTGGTCACTCCCCAGCCGCCTGATGTCGCTGCAGCAGTCAGCGGGGAGGAGCAGAGAGAGGGATGCGTGTGGAATGACACGTGATCAGTAGGTGAGGAGGTTCCCTTCCCGCCGATACTGCTTCACTAACTACCATGGGCCGTCTGTATCATTCGGCAAGGAGGGGGCCCATCAATGCAGGAATGCTGGCTGTGTTCGGTGTCTCGGCTTCCATTGTCTGCTTCATCCACTCTGCACACTTAACTTTCCCGTGCGCTGTCACCAGGCTCCGCTGTAAATGAGCAGCATGTCCTGCCCTGAGAGCCGCTCCGACCCCTCTAATCCCGGCCACTTATTTCTGCTGCTGGCTGCTGTGCCTATTAAGGAGGCAGAACCGGCACTCTAATCATGGGGCTGCAGCCCTTGGAGTTCAGGCACACAAGGCAGAGCTGGACAGATACAATAAGTGCATCAAGGACCTGGTGAAAGAAGGACCTAATTGCTGCCAGTGAGCGAGACCTGGCACAGGGAGAAGGATGGCACAGTAGGGGGGGGGATAGGACAGGACAGTGAGGGAAGGATGGCACAGTACAGGGGGGAAGTATGGGACAGGACATTGGGACATGGCAGTATGGGGGGGGGATGGTACAGGATGGGGGGTGAGGTTGGCACAGTACAAAGTGGAAGGATGAATAGGAGGGAGGGTGGTACAATTCAGGGGGTAGGATGGTACAGTACACAGGTAAAGGATGGCATAGGACAGGGTGGAGGGCAGCACCATTCTGTTTACTATGCGATTGACATTGTGTAGTTTTGCTTCACCTCTGCTGTACGCCGCACAACCTCTCCCTTTTTTGGGATGCTGTGGTGGAGAGGGGAATTGCATGGTGGGTGCAGGGCAAGTAGGTGGTGTGGCGGGTAGGGGACGTGGCTTGGGGGTAGGGGTGAAAAATGGCCCAGAAAAATGTTTGCTCAGGGTCCAATAAATATTAAAAGGCTGCCCTGCTGACCACTTCAGAGATTTTACTGACTGCCGCTCAGTGTTAAGCTTAATTTTAATGCTAATTCTGGGGACCTTAAAATGGTTAATTAGGACTGACTTGTAACCTGCTCTTCAACATGCAGCGGCTGTGTCATCTCTAAATTTTACCTTTGGGGGTCACCACAACTTGGCAAATGTTCCAAGGGGTCCCGGCCCTAGAAAGGTTGAGAACCACTGGTTTAGAGGGTACAGCTGCCTATACAGGTAGAGATTCTAAAATTAAAACTCAGATTTTGAAATGCATGGGATGACAGAAGCCAGATTAAAACAGTCCACCTTTATCTGCCATCATAGAGAACAGTGCTGAAGGTCTCTCTTTATGTTTCTTTAGAGCTACCATCTTACATTGTTTCATTGTATGTGGAATCTTTATAAGTGGCTTCTAAGTATTCAGCAGTACATGAAGTGCGTAATGAATGCAACACCTGATTGAATGGCCCCAGCTACTGCCCTCTTGGGTGCCAAATTCATCACTAGCTCCTGTATTCTCGGATGTGAATTATACATCGAATATCCATCTGTGATGACTGTTGTAAGACATTGTTTCTAAAATCCTGTGCCAATAGTCATGGAAATAACTTGCTAGATCTCTACTGGACATTAATATATGACATAGTAGATGTAATGGTGATCTATTTAATGAGCTTGCAGCCTCCTTAGTAACATAAATGCCCTCCACAGACTGCATACTATCAGGCTCATGCTCATGGGCATTCTCGGTGCGATATTTTAAGGGGTTTGCTTTATCATCTGCACTTTTTTCCCCAACTCCGACGGTGCTTAGTGTATTTGCTTTGGGGGAAATACTGTTGAAATGTAGGGTACCGCTCAACAGTGTATTTCACTTTCTGGCTTCATCAAATGCTAATATTGTCTGAGTTTATGGACATGACAAACCCTCATGAAATAATTCCCTTATTTTCTAGCTACTGAGGCAGTTGATGTGTCTTTTCATGTTTTCCAGGTGATTCATGTAACTGGACGTCTGCGTCTCCGTGTGTCTTTGTCTCATGGGCGTACTGGGCCAGGACAGGTGATGGGTTTAGTAGTTGTGGCTCATGCTCTCCCTCCCCCAACCATCAATGAAGTCCGCATTGACTGCCACATGTTTGTAACACGTGTCAACATGGACCTCAATATTATATACTGTGAAAATAGGTAGGTGACCTTATCAGAGTACTGGCCTCATTATGAGAACACATTGATTTTTTTCTAAAACACTGATACATTTTTCCCAAGAAGGACCATTGTACAGTACAATATATCTATAAATAGAAAGCTGCAGTGTATTAAGGTCAGCCCACTAGAATGTACCTAATATTTATAAAAGTACACCACATTCACAAATCCTTGTCTGCAAAATGCATCTACCAGTGGTCCAATGGTACAGTGTAAACAACACAATACTCCAGTGGTTATCAAACCTAAGAGTGTTCCTCATTAACGTGACACTAAACTCAGGAGGTAAATCTTAAAAATACATTCAAGTACCTCAACTATCAACAAAAATGTATCTTATTTGTGTATCACTCGGCTGTAGATCCTCAAATCATTTCTGAATTGGTGCTGACACTGTCCTTCCTTCTGGAGGGTGGCTACTTTTGTTTCCCATTGTCCCTGTGTGTGCTGTAATGTAGCCACCGCTCCAAGCTCACTCCTGTGATGGACTACAATCTCAATACAAACTAGTCAAGGAGTGAGCTTGGAGCAGTGACTACTTTACAGCACACACAGGGACCATGGGGAACAAAAGTCTCAGCACCAATTCAGAGATGATTTGATGATCTACACCTGAGTGATGCACAAATAAGATACATTTTGGTTAATAGTTAAGGTACTTGAATGTATTTTTAAGGTTTAACTCCTGAGTTTAGTGTCAGGGCAAAAAAAATGCTATACATGCACATTTCTCCATGTTTTAACACTTTAAAGACCCTGTGAGTACAGAAATACCTGTTGATCTGTCAGAAATGCACTCAGCTCCTACTTTCCTCTTGTGGAATGACACAAAATACCCTTTTGTGGGCTAAAATTGCAAGAATTGTTTTCAAACATGCCCAGTTGTTTGTTGTTAAACGTCCGAATCCCACCCATTCTTCTCATCTCCACATTATAGGGATTGTTCTGTAGCCCATGATAAGGACTGGTAGGACACCTTGAGATAACACAGGAAGTGTGCACAGGACAGCTCTAAATTCCTGGCAACAACCAGCGAATAAAATGCTTTCAGTGGGATATTTAACAGACTGCAAGGGGGCAAAGAAGTTATTTGTTTGGGTTTACATACAGTTCCATCCTGCACCAAGAACTTCCAGCACTCTACAAAGTAAAGCACTTTACAAAGTAAAGACAGAAAGGTTCCCTTTGGCTAACATGTACACGAGTTAGGTAAGAGACTCCTCATTTAGTCAGCTTCCAATATAAAAACATAACATGGAGCTGAACAGCCTACAACAATCTGCATCCCAGTTTTAAGCCAAATAATCAAAATTGTGATGGAAACTGATCTAAACCGGCACAGCACCCATCTAAAGGCATTCTTGATTGATTTCCACCCCAATTTCTATGAGCTGATCGTTCATAACTGGGAAACAGCCGGAACGGCATGTGGCAGATTGCTGTGGACTGCTTAATTCCATGCAGTTATGTGTTGAATCAAAAGCGGATGGAAAACTTCAGCCAACAATTATATTTAAACCTGGTTTGACAAATAACAGCTGGAAAGGTAAAAGCATTATTCTGATTGGCTCCTGTGGAGAGATCCCACCAGTTCTTAATGCGGGCACATTAATATACCCTGCACATGTTATGAAACCACAGAATTCCATCGTTGCTTGCAAAGAGCGAGAGACAGGAGGGGGATGAGACTTAAGGGTTGATTTCCTAAAGAAAAATAGACTGTTCACTTTGCAAGGGAATTTTCCCTTAGCTTAGTGAATGAGGTGAAAATTCAATTTGCTAAGTGATCTACTTATTTGCATTCAGTAAATCAACCCCTACATGTCACTATGTGGAGGAGTCTGCAGCTGAGCTCCACTTGTCAAGAAATAAGGAAAAACCTTTACTGCAGTGCAAGTGACCGGATATACTGAAAAGAGAACTACGGGGTAAGTGTTTTTCCCCATAGTTCTCTTTAGGGTCACGGGAGGACATATACTAACCTCCTCCCGTGACCCAAAGCTCAGTATATAGGGAGCTATTGCCTGTGATATACTGAGACCGCCACAGCCGGGACAGATCCCAACAATACTGTGGAGATACATCCAGCTGCGTGAGTGACAGCTGGCTCGGCCTATCTAGCGGCAGAGCCAGCTGTGCCCGCCCCTTTCCCTGTTTGTTCCTCCAGTCAGCGCTGGAGGAGAGGAGAGGGGAGGGGGGATCCCTGCGGAGAGCGGTAACTGACAGTCACCGCTCACTGCAGAGAGGCGATCGGGAAGTGAGTGGATCGGCTGCATGTTTCTGTTCACTTCCTGATCAATAGAGCCGACCTGTGACAGCTTCTTTGTCACCGGCCAGCTCTAACTATGAGGATGAGTAGAAATCACTCACCTCATAGTTCTCCTACTAGGAAGTGAAGACAAAGTTATGTCAGCACTCAGAATCATACTTCAAGTTCAAGTCAGCAACTCAAACTATGGAAACCAGAGGATCAGGGTGACAGCCAGGGAAATAGTACTTTCATAAGGGATTGGCATTGGCAGCCTCTATTTCTTTCGAGACAGTGTTGATTGAACATACCTGACATGCTGCATGCTCAATGCCCTACACATAAAAGACAAATATATATTGCTTTATATATATTTTACACTTGTGTTCTGTGATGGATGGTACTCCCATTTCCGAGCAATACTCGGTGTAGGTTATCACTATACAGAAAGATAATTAACCACTGGGTGGCACTGTTGTACTGATTTCTATGTAGGGTGTATTTTAGCTTTCATGACAAATAAAATTCATTTCAGTACAGCGCTGCATGACGGAATAAATGTCAGTTAAAGTACCGCAGCGCTGAATACTGAAAAATGGCCTGGATGGGAAGGGGGTTTAACACCGCGGATGTCAACTGGTTAATAAACACAAGACACCAATGCAGTCAAATCAACTTTTGTGTTTATGGAACATTTAATTAAGAAAAGGAAATGTGAACTTACTGAACACTTAAGTATCACTTTGACTATTAGTACCTTTAGACCGTAACCAGCTGGCATAATGTTTTTAAAAAAAAGTAGTTGTTCTAATTGAACTAAAGAAGTTATCAGTTAAAGTATGGCCAGCTGATATTTAAGAGCCATGAGGGCCCATTCACACCAATTGCTGTGCGTTCTAGAGTGCCAGCTACTGGAACGCACAGCAATCACTCACTAAACTTCCCCCTTTGTTCTGGGATAGGAGGGGGCGTAGCGGTGGATTGAAGTCAATGGCACTGCAGCCACGCCCGCAGTGTGATCGGACACGTGGCAAAACATTGCCTGCATTCCGGTCCACTGCAAACGCAAAAAATGCTGCATGCTCTATTTTTTGCAATCGCAGTGGACCGGAACACAAGCAATGTTCCAATCGCACTGCGGGTGGGGGGGAGGCTGCGTTGCCATTGACTTCAATGCAACACCATGCCCCCTGCCGCCCCAGAACGAAGGGGGAAGTTTAGTGAGCGATTGCTATGCGTTCCAGCAGCTGCCACTCTGGAGCGCGCCGCAATTGGTGTGAATGGGCCCTTAGAGGAACCTTTGAGATAATGTTCAGGTCTCAGGAAATCCAAGTTCACGGTACATAGCATGATCAGTAAGTTGTACAAAGTTTTAAATACAGGAAGCAAAAATGTGGAATGCATTGGGGTTGATTTACTAAAGGCAAATGCGCTGTTCACTTTGCAAGGAAATTTGCACTTCGCAAGGGAATTTTCTTTTGGCTTAGTGAATGAGGGGAAAATTTACTCAGCAAAGAATATCCAATCATGTGCATGAAAATAAAAAAAAAACAGTATTTTGTTTTGAATATTATTAGATGATGGAAGTCAGTGGAACTTCGCCTTATTCACCAAGCTAAGGGAAAATTCCCTTGCAAAATGAACAGCTAATTTGCCTTTAGTAAATCGATCCCATTGAGTATTTGAAACCAAAGGTGGATGGCTTTTGAACAGTCCCCTGCTCTAGATGACAAAATTATTTTCCAGTAATAGTTAAATAACATTGAGAGCCAGAAATGAAATGAAGGCGAAACAATTGTAGTGTCCTTGCAGTAGTGGTCAGTGGAAGATTGCCCCTTTACATTGCTGGACAATAAAGCCTCTTACATTGGTGGTCAATGGAAAGTGAACCCTTTGCTGAGTAAGGATCGGATCAGACATGAAAGGATGACTATTTCCACCGTCTCTATGAACTCCACAACAGTCATAATAACCACCTTTTCAAAGAACCCGGGCACTCACTGCTTTTTATCTTCTTTATTGCAGTTTCAAACCATGGCTAAAAACAATCCAACCAACAACCATCTCACATGAATAGCTCATGCTATTTTAAGGCATCAGGGGTTGAGGTGACCACATTGGCGGTCAGTGTAGAAGTAACTAGTTACACTGAATATCAGTGGAAAACTGCCCCGTTTAGACCGGTGGTCAGGATAGGGGGGAGATCAATATGCAAGTCCCTCAGCAACCTTTGGAGAAATTCTAGTAAGTTATTTTAGAGGATAACCTGCAAAGGTATTATATTAATATAGGGTGCCTTATTTCAGCAGAATGATGATGTAATTCCTGTATGCCAGATTGCAACAGTGCTAAACAGTTGCATTTCTGAATTAAGAGAAGAGAAAAAAAGTTTCTAGTTGTATGTAGTAAATAAACAATAGTTACTTTTAGATTCATTCAGAAATTGTAGGAGTCTTTCAGGGTCATTCACTAAACGGTAAAGAGTTTGGAGAAGGCAGAAGAAGTGAACAATCTAGGACAAAATATCTGATTTGGAAACATTTTCCAAGTCAGCTCACTTTCCATCAGTGATTTGCATCCTGATCAGCCAGTAGTCCAGCCCTTTTCTTCATCATGGCACTCCAGAGTGATGACATCACAGTGTGAGCTCAGCTTGGAATGCCATAAAGAAGTTACCAGGCTTCATTACTTACTGGTTGGGCCAGTGGCATGCACTATTCACCAGAAGTATAGATTACCTCGAACTGTAGGTTAATGTTGATGGAAGAAAACCACAGAAGTGTTGTAGGTAGATGGTCATTGTTGGTCTATAGACATATCTGTGTGTATGTTAGTGTATAACACACTGTGCCGTGATTTCCATTGTTCTGTGTAGCTTCATTAGCAGGCTCATTATTCATGCAATATAATGATGATCATTGCTATTATCACAAGGCTTATTATTAGCATTATTAGCGCTATTACAGGTTATTACACGCTTTGTCATTTATATCATTCACCAAGTAATATCCGCTGATTATTATAATTCCGATACAGCCACGCAGAAAGCGTTGTGTCGCCCGCGCTTTGGGTAATTAGTGGCCTCGTTGTTTTCCGCCTTCACGATCCGACAGAAATAATTGCTCGTTAATTACTTCCATTTACATTCACTTTTACAAAGTCTTTATAAAGGACAAATGAGGGGCAGATTTAACCCCTGTGAGGTGGGAAGATGAAAGAAGTTTACGTCTTTGAACTGCTGTGCACGGGTTTTGGCAGGGAATGGGTTACAGCCAACAGAAACTATTTCTGACAGTTTTGTGGGCTTTCAATTGTCCGTTTTCTTACCAAGTAAAAGTGTCATCTGGTAACCAGCTCATTGCCAAAAAACGGGCAAACAGTTGATACTTTGGTTATGCCTACTGACTGTTCTGTGTTGACTGTAAATGTTACAAAAAGGGGAAATATTGGCACAAAGTGAACATTTTTAAGTTTTGCTGCCTTATCACTGGCCTTAGCAACAGCTTGTTCAGTCTCCTTAGAGTGAAATGAGATTCCTCTTTAACACTTTAGTATACAAATATTCCTTCTTTCTAGACTTACCACATCCTCATTAGGTTAGTAAGATGTCACGGTAATACATCCCGTTACCATAAACTTTCCCGTGGCCAGAAAACTATAGAGATGACCTCACCCAAAGCAAAGGTAACTCCATGGCCCAAAATACACATAGCACACATAGAAATCTAGGAGGAACAGTGTGTAAACTTTTTGGGGGAACAAAGTTAGAGTGCTTGTCATGAAAGAGCCACTGCCTTTAATGTTAGAAATCAGTACTTGTTATAAACACATGAAGAGCAATGGTGGTCAGCCCCCTCTAAAGTCTTGTGAAAGGCTGTACAAGATATGATTTCTAATGTTGCTGAGCAGTAAATAGCAGAGAATAGTTTTGTTTTTTTTCATCTTTGGTCTGACTTGTATTTTTAGGACATTTTTAGTACAACAAAGCTTTTATACAATGGTGTTGTAACTGGCAACTGGGCATTATGTGATGCCTTATACAGCACCTACATTGGTAGGCAGGGTCTCGGTAAAGCCTAGAAATATGTTGGAGGCTTTGACTTCATGTTCTATTGCACACTTTACAATATTTGAGACAGAAGCTCATATAAAATCTTGCAAAAACTAAAGCCAGGAATGCCATCAAGAAAGCACTGCCCGGAGTTCTTCTTTAAAGTGGGATTTCAGCCCCAAAGTTTAGTATTGGATTGAGTGGGGAAGAATTAGAACCTTTGTCAGGTTTTTTGTTTTTTCTCCATCACTTTCACGAATACATTTTCACTTGGGCAGGAAGTGAGTGGATATATGTTTCACAGCGACACAACAGCCATAAAAACTTTTAAGTAGAACCAAGGAAGAGTAGAACTTCTGTGAGCTTTCTTTATTGCTGTCTGTGTCATATTTGGCTTTTTCTCCTCAATTACCGCTCCAGTGACAATGTTATTGACAGTGATTGGTAATCTCCCTAATAGGGTCACAATCATCGGTACAAACCTGATAGAGAATGTAAAGCAAAAACATGAAAAATAATAGTGTATAGAGCCTGTGGAAAAAAATGGGGGCAGTTGCAAATGTTTATGTTGCATGATGTTAGTGCAACTGTTTATCAAACCCAAAATGTCTGTAAGAAATACACTTAAAGGAGAACTATGGGTTCAGGGCTTTTCCCCATAGCTCTCCTAAGGATAACGGGAGGACACAAACTAGCGTCCTCCCGTCACCCTAAGCTCAGTATACCGCGAGCCACAGCTCGCGGTATACTGAGACGCCGCAGCCGGGATCCAGCCCAACATTACTGTCGAGATCCACCCAGCTGCGGGATTGACAGCTGGTTCTGCCTATCTAGAGGCAGAGCCAGCTGTACCCGCCACCTCCCCCGTCTGTTCCACCAGTCAGCGCTGGAGGATCAGACAGGGGAGGGGGGGAGTCCCTGCAGGGAGCTGTGAGTGACAATCACGGCTCTCTGCAGGGATAGATTGAGAAGTGAGCGAGCGACGGTATGTATTCGCTCACTTCCCGATCTATTGAGCCGACCTGTGACAGTTTCATGGTCACAGGTCGGCTAGAACTATGAGGCTGAGTGATTTTCACTCGCCTCATAGTTCTCCTTTTAAGCTAATTTTCGTGCAAAAAAAGAAACGCAATATCATATCCTTTTTTTGTAAAATATAAAAGAGGATGTTCTGCCAAGTAAAGAGATACCCAACATGCCAAACTTAAAAATTGCATATGCCCGCGAAACAGAGGAAAACTACAGTACCCCAAATTGTCCATAGGCGATGCTTTAAAAGCCTGTACAGGGCATTCATTTAGAGTTAACCATGAATAATGGCCCTACAATTATTGCTCCCACTCTGGCGTACACGGCAATACCTAACGTGTCTAGTGCAATAGGTGTTTTTGTTTGTAGGCGCACCAACGCGTGTTTACGTTAGTATCTGGGTGTATCGGGGACAGTGAAGCCTGGGAAACAAGGCAGGGGGTGTCAGGCAGTTTTATACATGTAAATAGACTCCCAGCGGCTATTTGTTTACAGGGGGGTGGTTGTGTCGGTGGCAGCAAAAGGGTTAATACACCGCTTCAGTGTTTACAGATCGTTTAGTTCACCTAGATGATTGATCACAAGTAGTTTAGTAGATTTTCTGCATCAGAGCAAAGTGAACATAAACACACTGCTACAGAAGACGGGGTGAACCATTTTGTATGACAACTTTGGCCAATACTTGTGTATAATCTCGTATATCAGTTCCTTGTTTGCTTGTATTGCCTGTAATCCTAACATTACATTTTTTTACATTGTTTCCATGACTGTTTCAGAATCAGTGATTACATGGACCTCAATGCTGTGGATCTGATGGGTAAAAGATGCTATCACTTCATCCATGCTGAAGATGTGGAAGGCATCAGGCACAGCCACCTGGACTGTGAGTATATTGTGCAGTTATCTAGAGTTCTGATCCCTGATACTGAGTCCCATACAAGCCATTGTATCATGGCACAGCTACAAGGATAATCACAAATAAATGTGAGGATTTTAATGAAGCCAATTTTAAGAATGAAAAAAATTAATGTACCCACAAACATAAATATTAGGTTTAAAACATAAATCTAGGGGGTTCACTATATGGTAACCAGCTGTTTGTCATAAGTAGCAGATGTCTTTCAGGACATATTGGATGCTGTTGTATCCCAGGGCATTTTTACATGGCCACAGATCACATTGGTGGTTGGCCAATAACCGCATATTTTTGTGGCTCACAGCTCTCTCACATACAGTTGTATAAACATGTATGGATAGAATGTTTCTTTCCCAATGTAATTTCTCCTTGAATACCCACAGACTGCATATACATTTTACATGACTTACCAACCAGGCAATCTGTTGTACCCCAAATTTTTGTCATGTGCTGTGTGAAGCATTTTTAGAGATCCAGGCCAGTGTATGGCAGTCATTTGTAACAGCCTCTAGTATGCAGAGACGGCCCAGTTTTGTTCTAGAAATTCACAGCGCATTTTCCATGTTTCTCCCAGGATGGATTTCCTTTAACTTATAATGTAATGAAGATCAATAGTTACAATTTTAGGCACATGTCGTAGCTGAAAATATAATGATATGCAATACTTCAAGACAGTATGACACATACAATTGTGAGAAAAATGTTGTAAATTGTAATCATTTCTTAATTTCTGCTTAAAGTCGACCTTTCATTTTTTTACTAAGAAATATTTTTATTAAATTTTGTGCACACAAAAATAAAATTACAACTGTACATAAGGTACAACAAGCATCAGTACTCAAACATAATGGATCAATCCCTAGGTGGCTCACGCACTGAAATCACAGCCAAACAAAACTAAAAACAGTATGAGAGGCCCGCAGGCAGGGTAAGCGCCATCCCATCAGGGCCGTATTTCTCACAAGGCCACTGAGGCCTGGCCTAGGGGCAGCAGGTGTGAGGAATTCCTATCTCCCGACGCCTGGGACATGTTTTATTCTACATTTAGCCCTGCTTTGGGCAAGCAGGGCTAAATGTAGAACGGGGAAGCCGCCGCTCGTTTTGTACAAGTTATCTTGGCGATGTTGCCGAGATCACTTGGACGCAGCCTGCAGGTCTGTCCCTCCCGCCGCCGCGGGGAGGGGATGCATTGAGGAACCTGGCCTTGGGGCAGCAGAGAGAGTAAATCCGTCCCTGCATCCCATAGCAGGAGAATAATTCAGTAAGAGGCCGGAGATACAATTTTCAATCAAAATGAATGCTAAGAATCAGAATCTACAGCCGAGTTAGAGTAATCAATCCTAACATCCCACACATTATGAAATGTATTAGGGCAGCCTCTATGATAATAAGTGTCTTGATATAGAGGCAAATTGCCATTTGCTCATTTCTTCCAGAATGGAATAGTAGGAGGAGTAGATTTCTTCCAATACATGGCTATAGCTTTACAGGCATAAAAGAAAAGTAATCCAAGAAGTGTACGCTCCGCATTACTGGGAGCTATCACCTTCCCCAATCCCAGTAAACCCAATTTTGGTGATGGAGTGAAACTCCAGGAGGTAACTAGCGATACATATGCCACCATTTCTTCCCATTAGGAAGCAATAGACGGGCAACTCCAAGATATATGAATAAAGTCACCTGTGGAACAATTACATCTCCAACAAGCTGCAGATATAGAATTACTAAGCTAATGCAAGTGATGTGGAGTAAAGTATGCGCTGTGTTGTAGCTTAAACTGAGCCATCCTATCCCGCACCGCCACCAGTTGCTTGAATGGTTTGTGGACCTTCACTTTAGAAGTTCACTTCACCATCCCAATCCTCCCCTCTCCACAACACATTGGTCATAACCTGAAACCTGGCTTTCAGGTTATGTCCAATATGTGTGTTATGTTATACTGGTCCCAGGGAGGTGCATCAGCTTAGGGATGTTTAGGCTTTTTGCAAGACTAAAATGCTTTTAAATTACTCTGTTAAATGAGAATTATGAGGTGAGTGATTTTCACTCAGCCTCATAATCTGAGCCGACCTGTGACAATGAAACTGTCACAGGTCGGCTCAGTAGATCGGGAGGTGAGCGAACACAAACCGGCGCTCGCTCACTTCTCGATCCTGTGCCGGCAGAGGGCCGTGACAGGGGAGGGACTGGATTCCCCCCTCCCCTGTCCGATCCTCCAGCACTGACTGGCGGAACGGACGGGGGAGGGGGCGGGTACAGCTGGCTCTGCCTCTAGATAGGCAGAGCCAGCTGTCACTCATGCAGCTGGGTGGATCCAGACAGAATTGTCGGGATCCGTTCCGTCTACGGCGTCTCAGTATACCGCGAGCTGTAGCTTGCGGTATACTTAGCTTTGGGTGACAGGAGGACGCTAGTTTGTGTCCTCCTGTTACCCTTAGGAGAACTATGGGGAAAAGCCCTAACCCCACAGTTCTCCTTTAAAGATTACATTTTGATTCTGTTGTTAGTAGGGATATAGTAGGGGTTACTGCATTGTTTTTTGCCTTATCACACAAGATCCCTTGTTCTCATGCAAAAGAGTATATGTGACTTCTAAGTAGTTAAAAGCTGTGTTTGCCTCGTCCAAGTGTTCGCTGCGTCCCTGTGTTTCTATCTCCACCTCAGGGACACATTCTCCCTGCCATCTGATAAATGGAATATGGATGTTCGAGCCATTTTTATGGCTGTTTCATTCAATGTTAAAGTCCTAACCGAGCCCTAAATTATAAAAGCAGAAGCTGCCAGGAGCAGGCGGGTGTCATTTGGCTCACAGAAAGGTCACCCTGTCTGCCTGAGGAGTGTCTACAGCTGCTAATATCTCCCGTACATATGAAGGACGTGGTGGGACTGCTAGACATCACTTAAAGAGACACAACAGCAAGAAAGTAGTGTAGCCTGTGCTCCTGAAGATTACCAGGTAACACTGCTTTACATGAATCTAACCAGGGAGCAACGTCTGGCACTGGTAAAGTAAGAAAAGATAATTAGATACAGGAGCTTTTATAAGTCTTAATTTTACAGAATCAATCTTCACTTATTGCTCATGTTTTAATATCATCTAAATTCATGAAAGATAAGATCTGATTGGTTGCTACACAGTAATGCTCGCATTGCACTTTGCACATAGGCACCAGTAAGCGTTACCTTATCTGAAATGTTCGATGTTGAATGTTTTAGTCCTGTTCTACAAATGAATTATTTCTATCAGGATATCAGTTTTTAAAAGAAAAAATAATGCATAGTGTAAATACAAATTGTAAAAAATGTAGAGAAGAGCAATATCACCCAAAACTGAAGTTCAAACCACAAGGCTACGGAGCTAAACTTTTACATTATTCTTCTAATGCACTTGTATGCAAAATCAGTGATGTGCATTAACCTGAATTGGCCAATTACATCTCTGCTTTCATCGGTTTAGAATAGTCAGACCCCCCCCCCCCTCCCCATTTTTCATGTAATATATTACAACTGTACCTGAAAATGGTACCTTAGCGCTCAGCACCAACAATTCATAGCTGGCAGACCTTCCATCCATGTAACCTTAAAACTAAGCCCAACCTGTAACAACAACATTAAGACTAACAATAACCTTTCTGTAACCCCAACACTTACCCTCCATGTCACACTAACATTAAGCCTAACACTATCCTTCCTGTAACCCCAACACTAACCCTCCATGTCACACTAACATTAAGCCTAACACTATCCTTCCTGTAATCCTAACATTAAGTTTTACGCTAACCTTTCTGTATATCTAACACTAACCCTTCCTGTCACCCTAACATTAAGCCTTACACTAACTCCACTGTAACCCTAACAATAAAGCGGACCTTCACCCATTAGATTACTCTCTCTTATACAATAATATATAGTTGTGCTTTTTGTTATTTTTTTTAAGTAGTTTCCAAATACAGTAAACTCTCTGTTATCCAGAACTCTCATCTAACCAAAAAAAAATCCCCAGTGTACTCACTGTTTTGCTGATCTGCGGCATGTATTATCCTGGAAATGATCCTGTGTCTATTTGTCTTCATTTGCTTTTGATGACTGCATTTCAATATTAATATGAAATTAATACAAAGTTTATGATACTCTATAATATGGGGTATGGCATTAGTTAGACCTATTTTTAATAGTAACTCTCAAGCTACCAAAAGCTACATTCATCCGGAATCTACCAATCCCTGTGGATGTCGGATAACGAGGAGTTTACTGTACTTTGGACTTGGTTGAGAACTGTGGCATGCCCACTGTCACACTCCTCTCCTGCACATACTACCCACTG